TCATCGTCATCGTCATCGTCATCGTCATCGTCATCGTCATCGTCATCATCATCATCATCATCCATTATTATCAATAAAGAACAGGCTGATTACAGATAAGTATACGATATGAAGATATGCTAAACGAGTGAAGAAAAACAGGGAGAATGGAGATAAAGACAACTTCCGGTGGTGATCTAGTGCGTAGGAAGAAGTTGGCAGTGTCGTTGCGAGATATTAATAAATCGATCATTACGTCTAATGAGAACCAGTTTCCTTCGAGATTACAAAGATCATGGATAAGTAGCAAAACTGGACTTTATCATCCCTATCTAAGCTTTGGTAACCTTTTCACGTCTCTAGACGCTCCCCCTGTGGCATACATACAATATTATGATACATAGGGCATTTAATAAAAACAAAAAAGAAGTCGGGTTATTGAATTGCGAAGGCTCATCGATTTGTCAACCGTCAGACTACTTCTTCCATTTCACCAGAAATTAATTACTGAGTAAGCACGTTGGTCGAAGCTTCACAATCGTTGCAGAATACAATTAATAAATGATGAAAATGTCAATGAATAAACTAAAATAAAGGAACACAACATCGTTTTTTCTTTTTAACTGCTAATTATAATTAACAACGCGTTCAATGCGATCGAAACAAGTAGCGCGATAATTTCTGTTAACGATATCGTACGCAGTTTCATGCTTATTCTCCTAACGAATTATGAGAAAATATTTAACGCTCCATACTTGGAATTTGATGATTAATAATAGCAACAAATCGCAAAGATTCTATTTTAAATATAATAAATACGAAAACAAAGCTTCCTCTATGAGGAAGCAAAAATCAGTCATGGGACCTCTAATTAAGTATGAAAATAATCAACAGTCTTTAGATCATTTTTCATTGCTTGTATAGTGAGAGGCTATGTATATGTATAAGTATAAAACAGTATATATATATTTTTTTTGTGCAATATGCATGTATTGAAAAAATAGTAGTAGCATATGTCATTGATTGCTTTAACATAAACTGCATTCCGATATTCACTGTCAGCATTAAAAATCTATATTTTTCTATATTTTACGTCACGTATACTATAGATTTTCAGTACTGACAGTTGCTGACAGTAAATATCAGAATGCAGCCATAATATACACGATGATTATTATAAGTGAGTTTAGTTGATAAACATTTGGCTTTTACCGTGTTGTATGTTCTTAAAACAATGTAGAATCAATGCAAGAATGTAGGATCAGTCGACAAAGGATCAGCTCATTAATCTCTATCTCTTTATTTTATAAATATATGAAGAGGGAAGAACGTAATCTAATTAGAACTTGAAAGGAACTATAACAAATCGATTTTTATCGCTTGATCGTGCAGCATCGTAGATGTGACAAGATACCGCAATTATTTATACGGAAAGCGATTGTACGATATTACGTATCCAAGTTAAAACTGACGTCCTTCCACATAAACGAAAAAGAACATACATTCTACCTATAACATTAATTTTCCTATATGTATTACAGGACAGCATTGTACAATTTTAAATATTAAATAAAAGAATATAAAAAAAAGAGAGAGGAAAAGTTTAGAGAGCGAATCAAATATTATATTATAAAAATAGTCATCTACGACACTGCGAACAAACTTTGAACAAGTATTATCAGTCTATTAACTTTCGGTCAGTCTAAACAATAAAAAGATTATTAGAGCATAAAAATAAATAAGTTATGAGAAATCATTAGAGCCCTATATTCGTATGTTTTTTAACACCATTCTTTATAAACTGCGCTGCACGCAATCCGTTTCGTTTTGCTATCATCTTAAAACCGAATCAATTTCGCTAGATAGTAAATTCTTGATGATCTGAGAATACATGATTCAAGAGGAACAAGATGCGCCGAAACGTTACACGGCAATAAAATCTACTAAAGTATTCATAAAAAAAAAAAGAAAAAAGTAAATCTGTGTGTATGTAGCGACAAACGTATCATCGTAAAAGAAATTAACTATAAAAGACAATTTCGATGTGTATACAACCGCGATAAATGTTTAAAATAATTTTAAATAAAATAATGTTTATTAAAATAATTTAAATATTTCCGTGCAAATAAAATTCTTATTCTTTTTTTATCTTTTTTCTATCATTATGTCTTAGCTTCAACTGCAATTGCATATGTGGTTGCTAAAAAAAAAGGTATATATTTATATAGTCATATCTCGCTTGACGCGTTAGTATACATTAAGGCTCCTGGGTAGTCACCGCGGCCATATTGGATTCTTACTATCGAGGCGAGGAAAACACCCAATTTTGTTGTGCATGCCATTTTCAAATAAAAAGACATTTCAATAAAACATCACTATAGATCGTTTCAGAACACTTCCGAAATTGGCCGAAAACTACCCTTTTCCCTCGACAATAAACAAACAGCCATAAAACGAAGCCTACTAAACATACGGGAAAAACAGCCGTTTAACGACTATCGAAAGGAGGTGAAAACGTTCCTTCCGCATGCAAATCTTACTTTTCGGCCAATTTTACGACTTTCACGAATACGTTAAACGTTAGAGCACAAGCACAGAGCGAATAATAAAGAAATAGCACGCACAACAAAATAGGTTGTCAACATGTCACAAGACAGAATTCTCCATTGGAGAGAGTGAGAGGAGAGAGTTCTGATTTCTGCCGCGACGGTACGTCGCCACCGTCAACGCAGAGTTCTCGGCTCAGGGACCAGGAGCCTTAAAGTCATTCAAGTGAAGTTATTTAAGTGAATCAACGTTAAACGGGATATTTTAACGGGGAAAGAGTAGGAGTAAATTTCAGAAACACGAATTTTGAACTTAAAATCTATAAATTCCATTTCTACGTACAACATATTACTCAAGACAAAACTAATTATAATATTACAACGGGATAATGTTCTAAGAGGTAACGTAAAGCGAGGTATGACTGTACTGCAATTGCATCTCTGTTTATGTTAAAATATATTAATTACTGTAATTTGACATGTAGATGCTTATCAACTGTTATCATAGAGTAAAACCTAGACAATAGAGAAAGATGAAACAAAATCAATTTTGTCATTATAATAATATCATATGCGGCAAGAGTACGCGCATTAAAATTTTGCGGCACGCTTCTCAAAGTTAACAAGCGCATCGATCCTGTGCGAGGCCACAAGTATATAAAATTATCAAGTCTAATATATGCTTACACATACGCTATATATGCATGGTAAAAAAATCGTGCTCGCTTGAGACATTTTGTATCAGCTATTACAATCCGATCTAATTGGTTTTACTCTTATTTGGGGTTTAAGGCAATCTTATTCGTTTAAAAGTGGCCAAGATTTCAATATGATTATTTGCATTAGTAATTCGACAGTGTAGAAAATACAAATGTATCCATTATAAATATTATACAGTATTATATGAAAGTGTGTGTGTGTGTGTGTGTGTGTGTGTGTGTGTGTGTGTGTGTGTG